AGGGCATAAGGGAGTGCTGTATTAAACACTGAACAAGTGGGCACCATACCTAGAAATGGAAATTGGGAAAGGATAAGAGATCTCTTCAGAAGAGCAAGCAATGATTGTCAGAGTGTATAAACTACTTTCTCTGCCTTAAAATCCTAATGGGGAGGTAGCAGAGGGAGGAAAATAGAAACAACTGGGAATATTTAGAGTGAGGTTTCTCTTTCAGTTTCCTAGTGCTCTATTTTTGTTCCTCATATTATATTTGAGAACCAGCAGTCACCAGGAGATCAGAGCATGTAGGTACAGCCGATTCGCAAACACTTCACTCTGTAATAGAGCTGCTCTTGTTGGCAGCTCAGGTTTGTCTGAATGTTGCTGTCCTCAAGGACCTCACTCCTCCATAGTTTTCTTTTCTAATTTTCTTCGTTTTGTTTTGAGTTTTACCTTTGTGGATGTTGGGGAAAAAACTGCTAAGTATCTGGAATAGGGCAAAGCCAGCTCTAGTTTTGCTAGCCTTTATCTATGAAATAGGTGGCCAGCTGAGATGTGGTGAACTTGTCTCGGTCTTTTGGCCCAGATATTTCTGGTGTTATTTAACAACAGTGAAAAAGTTCCAGTTTGAAGAGGTGATTGTTACTAAGCTTTGTAATTCTCACTGTGGTGCTGAACATTTTTTCTGAATCATTGTTTCATGTTTGATAGTGTAGGTGTTGTTTGACAGATCTACTAGTGTGTGCTGTGACAGTTCACTGAGAGAAGGAGGACATGAGTGAACTCACTTATCTGGAAGAGGATTTGGTTTCCTCCTTGTCTTCTGCAGAGTATAAATGCTTAAAAGCCATTCCAGTTCAATGTAAAAACTCTCAGATCTTGGAGCCTCTATGGTGGACTCTGGCAGAGCGGTCTGTGGAGCTAGCTCTTCGGTGCTGATGTGTGCCAAGGGGTTGGTGTTAGTCATGTCATCTGCCAAGCTCAGTGCCACAGAGCAGAAAGTGGCTCCTCAGCTCTGTGATGCAGTGACTAATGTGTGGCTAGTTCTCAGCTGGTGGAGGATCCAGGCAGGGAATGAAGTTCATGTGTTTGAATGGCTTGTTCACAAACTCACCCAGGGAAGAACTAAGCCCTCAGAACCTCCTGTGGTTCTTCCTTGAGCGTAAAAATTCATAAATAAAATAATCACATTTAACTAAAACCAGGCAGCAGAATGACACTACTTTACTCCTCCAGCTTGGTGAGAAAAAAACACATCGAGTTGGTGATAGGTAATTGGAAGAATGAAAGCCAGATTAAATTTAAACTCTAGTTTATTACAAGTGCCCTGCAGCACCTTTTACCGAATGAGAACAAGCTTCTCCTTTTTCCAAGTGCTGTCATAAACTACAGTATTTTCTTAGGTAGAAACTTCAGCCAAGATCTCCAAGTGTTTATCCCAAGCTAGAAGCTGATGAGTTTTTTTGAGTCCTCCTTATGTTGGAAAATGAAACCACAGATTTAAACAGTTCACTGTGGATGTGGATTTATAGCTTCAACTTGCAGAAAACTGGCCTTCAACAGCTTACACAGCAGCACCCTTACTCTTTGGGCTGAGGGCTTGATGGTCTTGTGGCAGGGTATTGAAATGGGTGGCTTGAAGCTGGTGCTGGTCAAGAACCTCCTGAAGGATGCCAAGTCAGGGACACTTGACCTGCTTCTGAGCCAGTGTGTGAATGGACACAGGTTCCAGCCCACTATTTTATGGCAAATAAAATTGGAGACTTTGTATTTGTGTGCAGCTGCCCGCATAAGTCTGGTCAGTGCTAACTTTGGCCATCCAATTTTAATTTGCTGTCGCATGTCTGCCAGAGCACTGCAGGAGGGTGGGAGGGAGGATATTTTTCCTGATGACTGCTGTTGACATTTGCAGAATAGAAGTAAAGTCAGCCACTTGTTTGTTCAAAGGTTTTAGTGCCTGTAGAGGTTCTCAGCCAGCCGGGATCACTCTGCACCTGTAGCAGAGCAGGGACCTTCCCAGCTGCAAATGGGGAAAACTGATCAAGCTGTGTTGGTGTTTAATGTTGTTTCTTATACTTAGGGGCATCAGTGAAACCAAAATGATCAATTTTGCTATAGAATTTGTGGAAGCTAAAGAGAAGGTTCTTCTTTGCTGCCCTCACAAAAAAAAGGAAATAATTGAGGAAATGTTCATATGTACACAGAGGCTCAGGAAAGCTGTGACGTGCAAAAGGACTGATGACTTTGTTTATTGAGGGCACCTTCAAGCTCTGATTTTTTCACTAATATCACCTACTGCAGAAGTAAGGCAAAATTTTAGTCTTCACCCCAAAATCTACAGGGGATGTGTGTGTGAGGGTTAGTGTTTGTTTCTTCTGGTATTGCTGGCTTAAGGCAAGAGCATCAGAATGACATGGTTGCTGGTGGTCTCTGGCTGGATCATAGAATCATAGAATGCTTCAGGTTAGAAGGGACCTTGAAGAACACTGAGTTCCCATTGCCTGCCCTGGGCAGGGATACCTCGCACCAGACCTGGTTGCTCCAAGCCCCCTCCAACCTGGCCTTGAACCCCTCCAGGGATGGGGCAGCCACAGCTTCTCTGGGCAACCTGGGCCAGGCTCTCACCACCCTCACAGCAAAGAATTTCTTCCTGAGATCTCATCTCAATCTCCCCTCTTTCAGTTTAAAACTGTTACCTCTCATCCTACCTCATCGTACCCTCTCCCTGATCAAGAGTCCCCCCCCAAGCTTTCACAGAGCCCCTTTAGGGACTGGAAGGGGCTCTAAGATCTCCCTGAAGCCACCTTTTCTCCAGGCTGAACCCCCAAGCTCTCTCAGCCTGTCCTCACAGCAGATGGGCTCATAGGAGAGGTCCAGGCTCTGCATCTAATAGCAGAGAAAGGTGGTCATGGACTTGATTTTCACAAGACTGAGCAAACCCTGCATTTTATTTCAGCAGGGTGGTGTGTGCTGGCACCTGAAAACACAATGTCTGTGTGAAAGTGGATGGGGGGGGGCACCTAATGGAAAGGAGGGGATTGATGGGACAAAGAGCATATGAGTGAACTGTGTTGTAAAGAACAGGAGCAAATATAGAACAGAGATGACACCAGTAATAAGCATGAGCTGAGACTGGGAAGAAACAGGAGAGATTTGAGAAAAATGGAATGTAAAAGATATAGTGGAAGTTACTGTGGAAAAGAGGAGGTGAAGTGGAACAAGGGAGAGGAGTGGGAGAAGGAGGAGGAGGAAGCAATTACTGTGTGCAGTTAATAGCTGCACCAAAGAGAGTTTTAATTGGAAACCTTTTATATTTAATAGCAGTTCTGCTCCTCTGCATTTCAGAAATGCATGTGGCAGGTAGTTTTCCTTTTGGCTGTTGCGTGGCTGATGCAGAGTATGCTGGTTTTCAAGCCAAGCAGCAGATCTGCATTTGTGCTTATCAGGCCCTGAGCAAACACATTAATAATGTCATTTGTCATGGGAGATGGCACTACTAACAGATTTCAGTTTTTTCTGTAGCAGATGGGGTATGCACTCTTATTCTGCCTTGTCTAAAGCTGCTCATTTTAACTGCTCAAGCATGAGTTCTTGTCACCTGGCAGGAAAGCATTGACCCTAGTCGGTGGTGTAGAGAGACCTTGATCTCGTTGTTATGACGTGGAGGCTCCTTTAAAATCCCCTGGGGGACTTTCTAAGTAAGGAAGAGGTGAATCTGTGGCTTGTACATTTATGTCTGGAAGGATGAAAAACAACCATGGAGAATTCCTAAAATTGATTTGAACTTAGGTGTCCTTTATCTCTTTGTGGTATGCCAGTGCCACATGCTGGAGAGCTGCTTTGGATGCTGGTGCACTTTCAGATGCTCTTCTGAGCAAGTCAGGCAGCTTTTTGCACGCTGGTGAGCAGGATTGCTGTGACTGAGATGCTGTGGATATATCTTCCAAATCCCTTTGGCAATTGAAAAACAGAGCAAGTGGAAACCAGTGGCTGCAGCTGCAGTTAAAAATGGCCACTTCGCACTCCACAGAAAAACCTTCTGAATGTAGAAAGCATGGGAACTCAGAGGTCAGTGAGGGTATGTGTTAAAGCCAAGCCCCGAGCAGTGGGAGCCTGTGAAAGCTCAAGTAAAGGCAAGTGTACCATGGCTCTGTGTTTCTTGTTTCTACCTGGCTCTGTGTCATGAAATCACAGAAGGGTTTGGGTTGGAATGGACCTTCAAAGACCATTCAGTCCAACCCACTGCCCTGGGCAGGGACACCTTCCACCAGACCAGGTTGCCCAAAGCCCTGTCTGACCTGACATTGAACCCTCCAGGGATGGGGTATCCACAGCTTCTCTGGGCAACCTGGGCCAGTATCTCACCAACCTCATGATAAAGCATTTCTTCCTTACATCCAATCTAGCCCTGCCCTGTTTCAATTTAAAACCGTTGCCCCTCATCCTGTCACTACAGGCCCTGATAAAAAAGTCTGTCTTATAAGCCCCTTCTATGTATTGAAAGGCCACAGTACGGTCTCCGTGGAGCCTTCTCTAGGCTTAACAACCTCAACTCTCTCCGCCTTTCTCTGTAGAAAGCTTTGTTTTTGTGTGCAGGTTTGTTTAGTTTGTGAGGACTAAAATGGTAATGAGTGGCATTTACACATGGAAAGAGGTTTCCTTGACTATCTGCCGTCAACTGATTTAGATCCCTTTGAAGCGAATGTGCTGACAGACTCCCCTTGCTAGCTGTGTGCAAGAACTGCTTTTGGATCATTCGAGGACACTGAATGATAGAGGGAGATCTGTGTGCCTCCATTTTCTTCCTCCCAAATCCTAGGTGAGATTAGTAAGCAAGCCTTTGAGGCCAGCCTGGTGGTTTGAATGAGCTGTCATAGCAATGTCTTTTGCCTCTGTCCAGAGCGTGTGAGTTGAGGATGAATACTCTGCAGAGATCACTAGTTTTAATTGGTGTGTGGCTAGGTGTACCCTAGATGTAAAAAATATCCAACAGTTGTCTGTCTCTTCTTTTTCACTTCTAGGTTTATTCTTCAGTCTAAAGGAGTGATTCATAATCAGCTCTTAGAAAAACAGAGAATAGCCGAAGAGAAAATTAAGGAATTAGAGGTAAGTTTTTGGCAGGTAATGATGATGATGAAAGTAGAACACTGAAGGTCAACAAGATGCTGTTTGCTACATCCCTCATTTTTATCTGGTACTCTTCATTCTGAAGGATTGTAACCAGGTGAAACTAGTGCCTGTGACAAGTAACCTACGGGTAATTAATGTAATTTGGTTTCTTTGCTAGATCTACAGCCCCAGTAGGGATTGACTGTTCCCTGTGTGTCCTGATATGAAAACTGAAGGTGAGGGATTCAAATGAGATTAGTAGGAGCAAAGTTTAAAGCTAGCAAAAGGATGTTTGTGTGGTTATTTGCAGCAGATAAGTGATGTGAAACTTTGCCAGTGCTGTGGATGTTAAAAGTTTACATTGCCTCAGGACAATTGCACAAATTCATGGAAGATAAATCCATTGAGAATTACCAAATATGTAGAAATGGCATCTCGCTCAGGAAGTCCCTGAGCTAAAAATGTCTGGAGGCTGGGAAAGTAGGAGGAGGAAGTACGGTCTACGCCTGCCATGTCTTTACACTCTGCTCTAGGCATTTACTTGTGGCGGCTGTTGAAGACCAGCTCTACGGGGAATTGGGACTTTGTTTTGATAATGTGGTCAGAGCACTTTTGTGTTCTTATGTTTATCTGGTTGGAGCATTAAAGGCAGAGAAGAACATCTAGGGAATATAAAGTAGTGTCTGTGCAAGTTCCAGTGTTTGAATAAGTTACCTAGAAAATCTTGACTGTCTTCTGGTGGCTACATGTACCGCTGACATCCTCAGATATGATGTTCAAAATGTACTTTTCCAAGGCCATTAGTGTATTTTTTTTATTAATGGCCCTAAAATATAATTAATACAGAACCCTGTTCCTTGTTTTTTGTGGAATGACACAGAAAGCAAAGACTGAGTTTTGTCAAGCTGCTTATCTCATCTGTTAGTGTTTTGGAGAAAGTGAGGGTGGAGACTAAGTAGGGACAAGCAGGAATAGGAAGTCCTTGCTCAAACCGTCTCTAAACCTGTGCAGTTCTGTCTCCATGGTCTCCTACTTACATTAAAGCAGAAGTAGAATTTGTATTTTTTTAATTCCCTCTTAAAATTCAGCTTTCCTTGGGAGCTATAGGTCGAGTACATCACCATATGTTGTGTTATCTGGAGAAATCGCTCCAGGCGCTAAGGGGTTTTCTGTTTCTGGCCATGAGAACTTTTTCTGCACAGGGAAAGCAAGTGCTCCATAGATAGGCTGTATATTTAAGGTGGTGTTAATGCAGACAAGGCACAGTTATTTATATTGTTACGTGATAAAAGTGATTGTATCTTGGTTATAATGGAGCCATCCCAGATGCCAGTGGCTTTGCACAAAGCCCTGCGACTGGGGTTGGAGAGCTTCATAGTGGCATGACTGCGGTGTGGCTGACAGCCTCTGTTACAAACTGCCTGTCAGGTCCTTTACTCCAGGTCCACTGGGCTGTGGTCAGCTTTTTAGCTCCTGTGCCCTTCAGCTGTGCATCTCGGTTTCTTCCTCTTCCTGGTGGGGAATGATCTTACCTCCTAAACTTTCCAGTTGCTGAGTTCAGCAGAATGGATGGAATTCCCCAAAATTAGAACTGTTCTTGCACAAAGCCTTAGAGTTGGCTGCTTCACTGATGTGTTTTTCTGCTTTGTAGCTCTCTGTTCTCCAAGAACATTCTCTGGTTATGGCCACTGAATTGAAGTCACAGCAATAGTGACAGTCTCAAAAGGTAGTAGGAGTGAAAAAGTGGTTGCTACATGGGTTGGTTTTTCTTTTTAACCATGGATAGTAGGGCTCAGATTGCCAAAACTTTCAACAGTTTAAGTGAACATTTGAGTCCATCTTTTAACTAATCTGCTTCCAGCTGGATGGCAGTTTTGTGAGAAGGATTTTCCTTAGGCTTGGGATTCCCCATGGATGAGGACAAGCTCTTAGACTAACTGCTGAAAACTGAGGTTTCAGGGGAAATACCTGACTCCAAGTCAGAGAGTACTTACCCCAGGAGTAGGGGATTTTGCTCTCCTGAAAACAAGCTGTGATAGAAGCAGGAAAGAATGTGAACCTTTGTGACCTTGTGCTTCCACTGCATCATTTTAAAATGAATATCAAATCAAGATAGGTTAAAACTCCCCTCCATCCATTATTAAAACTGGAAGGATTTTAAAGCCCAGGTTTATATTTTACAGTGTTAACTACCTCATTACTTAATCACTCTTCTCATTTAGCATAGTTTACTCAAGCTGGTCAGAGTAATCTTCCAGTATCCATACAGTGTGTCTTACCTGGTTGCTCATGTAGCGCTGAGCTTGAGACAATGATGCCTTGCTACTATGGTGCTATTGCTAAGATATTGTCAAATGTGTGTTTTTGATACAAGCCTAAATTTGAGAAATGCTGTGGCTGCTAGCTTGGTGCTGTTTGCAGAGAAGCACAGCACAGAGGGCTGGGTTCACTGCTGGACTCTTCTGTAAATCCATCCAGCTACATAGCAAGGAAAGCTCCTGAGGGCTGACTATTGGTGAAAGCATAGGCTTCAACCTGCTTCAGAGATGTGAACTGGGTTTCCTGACATTCACAGCTGTCAGAGTGAACTTTGAAAACAGTGAGGGGTTTTGCGTCTGGTTTGAAAGCTTCTTTTCTCCCTTCTCTGATAGTCTCCACTCCAATGCATGATTGCAACTATTCCCTTTCCCTTACTCCCCTCTCTTGGGTTCCTCTGCTGTTGAAGCAGTGCATTGCCTTTTTCAAGGCAGCATCACAAAATTGATAGTTTGGTCCTCCCTGCTGTCATTGCATGGCAAAGCATCAAGGAGAACCAGACCTGTCTTTGTTCAGGGCTGTGAGAATAAGGCTTGGCTGGAATAAGCATTGGCTGTACTTAGAGGAACTGTGTTCTGCAAACACCAAAGGGGTATGGATGTGTACGAGGGGGCAAATAGTCTGTCAGCTACTCTGCAGAAAAAGCAGGGTAGCTTTGCCCTTGTTGTTAAAGCTAAGGTATGAATGTGAATATATATATGTAGCATTCTTAACTTCACTACTTTATATATATACACTTTGGAATCCAAATAGACTGCCCAGGTTTGCTGGCAAAACGCACATGCCTGTTCCCAGGCTGTGCCAGTGAGGCTTACAAAACCTGCTTGAATCTTGCAGAGTGATGGCATAGACTTACTTTGGCATGGGAAGTGTCCTGCTTAGCAGTAGCCATTGGATTTTTCCAGTCCTGATATTATCAAATTCTTGTTGTGTTTCACGGTACGAGGGGTATGTGCTAAATCTATTTTGAAAGCATTCTAAAGGGATGAGCACAGACTCTTTTTAGCTCAGTAATGTTTGTGCAGTATTAGGAGAAAAACCAAGTAATGTTTTTCTTCCTTTGTTTTTAAGGAAACGTGATATGTAAGGGGTGGAACAATGCTTTGTTTCAGGAAATGTTATCCGTTTCCATTATAGGGCTAGATGGATTCTGTTTTTAAATGTGGCATTTTAAAAAGAACAAACTCTGTGATGTTACAAAGACATGGAAAATTGGTTCTTCGTTAGGGGTGGAGAAAGTGGTTATCACTGTGTTTTCTCTGATAATATCTGATAGTCCCCTTCTCTCCTGCTATATTCAGCATGTTTAGTTGTCAGGCGTTGTCAGACTAAATTGCTAAAAATAACAAATAAGGGGGAGGCTCTGCTGGGCAGCTCTGTGTGCCACTGAATTTAGCTCCTTCGTGAAAAGGGCAAAAGCAACCTGCAGCTTTCTGGTTGAGTTGGATTTTGGTTTTAAACTCTGATCACAACACTTATGTGCGTGCTTCCCGGGCAGTTCTTTCACACATGTATGGGAGACTGAAAGTTTACCTTTGTGGAGATAAAGGGTTGGTTGTTTTCTTTTCTGTCTGCCTGGAGTAGAAAATACAATTGGGAAAGCTATACCGAAGTACTTGATTTCTAATTCAGAAATTCTTTATGTGATCCTTAAATGCCATGTCCAACTGCCTTGTCCCACACAGAAAACTTCTTTGATCTCATTCGTGGTGGAGAAATGAACACCCTGCTCTCAAACACCACTGTGTTCTGTGTTTAAAGGCTTAGATGCTGTTGCAGGGCTCCTTCCTGGCAAAGTTTAAAAGTAACTGCATTGCAATGCCTCATGGTGACCAGCTGTCAGGGGTTAACAACAGACTTCTTCCCTAGTGCTGCCTGGAAGCAAACTTGCTTGTGCTGCAGCTTCCATTTCTCTAATCTTCTTTCTATAGGAGTTTTAAAATGGCTTTGCTGCAGCCCTCAGGCGTACTGGTGGTGCCCCCCTTCTCAATGAGTCGACCAGGGCGTCTCTGATGGTTGCCACAACCGTGTTTTCATACCCTGTGGGAACAAAGATTTAAGCCAGTGAGGTGTGGCTGGGGAGGAGTGCCAGAGCCTGGGAGTTGATGTTCTCTGAGCCGGTATGGCTTGGATGGACCTGCTCAGTGTGGCCACATGCCTCTGATGTGCTCCAGCAGCAGCTCTCTGGATGCCCTTCGGTTTTTATGCTCAAACCGTCATTGTGGAGCGCGATTCTGAGGGTGGCTTTAATGATTGAAAACAAGTCTCTTGAGATTTGTGGTGTACTTTGCAGACCACTAAGCGACCATCAGAGGTAGCAATTGTTAAGCTGTTCCCAAGTTAGATGAATTTCTGCCTGGGATTTACAGCATAGAAGCTCTTATTCCATGGTTGCCTCAGGATAAGCCAGTGCCCAGGAATGTGTGGTGGGCTTTTTAAATACACAAGGGAAAATAAGGAATGCTCCTGTTTGCTTTGGAGAGGGGAAGCCTCAAGAATAGCCCTCTGTGCTTTAGCCTGGAGCAGATTTTACTTTGGATGAGTGTGTTGTTCTCTTGTTCCACTGCTGGCATACATGCATGTACCGAGGACATGGTTTTAAGTCATTCTAAGTGTGTGCACAGTCTAGGTCAGTACCTCTCTGTTTTTTCAGCCCTGTTGGCTTTATGGCCTGCTCTGCT